TCAAAATCACATTTTGATTTGTTTTTCAACTTTTATCTACTTTGTTATATAGAACAAAGAATACAAAGAACTGCGCAAAACTCATTCATTGCAAGATTTCTGTTACGTCGATCGCGAATAAACTTTGATTCATGCACACCAAATTCGAATATTTATAAACTTTTATTGTTGAAATATTTAGAATAGAGAAAATAAGAAATCGAGAAAATGAAAAAAAAAATAACTCTGATAATGAATAATCATTATTATTGACTCCAATAACAATAAATTGGACACCAACTTATATTACAAAACAAGCTATTTTATTGTAATACTTTTTTCATTTTATTTTATATATATGGCACATGAAATCATTTACATTTTCATATAAGTAAGTATATTAAATTTATAATAAAATTCTGCATTCTAAAACCCGTAACACAGTCATAATTAATAAAAAAAAATATTTTTTAACAGTATTTTCAATAGAAAGTAGTAGGGGATGCTGAAAAAGAAAACCTAACACAGTAACCAGAAGGGCTACTCGCAAGGAAAATCTAAAACAATAGCCAGAAGGGCTGCTAAGAAACAAACATTTCCTACTCAATAACCAGAAGGGTTACTGTAAAATTATCTACATTACGAACCCGAGCAATAAACTGTATCTTGTTTCGCAACACTAATTCACCAGCATTAATTATGAAACAGGAAATTTTCAAAATCAAACGCGAAGAGTGCTTCGTCATATTTAAAACTCCCGAAAGTAAGTACGCAACGCGATTAATCTATGCACTCGTGTTAGAAATACGCAACACTAATTGCGACGCGTCCAGTGCAACCATGATGGAAGTTGCTGATGAATGATCATCTCTGTACAGCTTTTGTAGCTATATCAGATGATCCTGAAGCAGGAACAGCCTTCCACGAATCCAGTGGAAGAATTTGGACATTTCGTAAACGCAACACTACTTCATAAAAGAAACGCGATCATTCATTATCGCAACACTAACAATTAAAGGAAAACTAATTCGGAAATCGCGATGGAACAATGTCGCAACACTATAAGAATAAAAGTAATTGGAAATCGCGATGAAATAATGTCGCAACACTAACTCTAAAATCAAACTGGATGAAAATTATTCCTAACAATATAGAAGCTATTGTACGAAAAAAAGCTACCTCAAATATTCTAACACTATAAAAGCAAAGACTCTATAATTTAATTTAAGATAGGAAGCAAAATAAATTTTACTATATATAGCACTAATATTGTATAATAATTGTAAGACGATTACAAAAATTTAAATCAAAATTGCAAACACCAATCGCGGTATCATGATTCGCAACTCTAAAGAAAACACGATTATCATTTCTTCGCAACTCTAATTTAAACCGTAATTAATTTTTCGCACCGCTAACAAGAAAAATCGCGATTTGCCCAAAAAGATGTTGAACGATGATGAAGAAAAAAAAAAAAAAATACAACTACAAATACTAAATGAGCATAGTGACAAAGTAGTAACGAGAATGACCTCCCATGCTCTGGAATTATTTAAATGATCCAGAGGATGAGAAGCCATTTGTTGTGACCCTCTTCGTGGCAGTTTGCCGGGCCTCTTCGGCTTTTAGCCTCTTCTTACTTCGAGCGCAATGCCCGCTGAAACTTACATTTAGCTCGAGTCTTTCTAATCGCAAACCAAAAAATAACTTACAAAGGTGAAATCAAAAAATAAATCGCGGAAGCTGATCCCAATACACATGGACGACCATCGATCATAGTGATCGTTGTCCGTTCGCACGTGCTTGCTCGAGCAATACCTACACAAACGTTCGTTTCGGACCTACTCGCGACCTATCCGCGACCGCGACCGCGATACTAAATTCGAAAAATCGAAGAGTAAAACTAGAAACAAGTGGCATGGTCCATTTGTTCCAATTTCACTGTCGATTTTTCAAATTAGATTTCCTGAAACAGGTTGGACACGCGAAAAGGGGACACGCGACCAGAGACTGTGCCAACCTGCCCGGCCCTACCTACTTACAACTAATACATTCATACCAGAAAGTATGCTACCTATCCTAACAATCGCCCTATATTTAAAAAATAGCAAAACAGGCACACCAACACATTCACTCAACGATTCTCACACATACCACTCGGGCGCAGGCCTAAACTAGAGAGGACGTCCCGGGACGCCTCCGACACCCGAGCTTAGCACACAACATTCATACTCTAATTTACGTACCATTTTTCTGAAATCAACTGACAATGCCTAGCGACCATTGCGTAAAACGTGATTAAAACACGTTTGTATTTACAATTATATGTGACATACTAATAACTGAGGAAAGATATAATTTCTATAGAAACTACATGTGCAAATTGACTTGGAATTATTATTGTAATTGATAATATAATTAATAACATAGTTAGGTATTATTATAGTATAAATTCATATTTTAAATTAGTGCAGAACAATAGAAACGACGCATTTCCACATCCTAACCATACACACATGCGAAAAATACGTCGTGCACGATACGCTAATACATTGTCAGTCGCTGAGAAATTTTTTATAAAATTATAAACTATGGTCATCGTGCTCACTGTCTTTCACTCACCCAAGTAGCACCTGGGCACGTGAGCGAGATCCTGACAATGAACACGGAAGGGGTTAAACCTGAAAATCCTGAACTAAAAAAATGATTAGTTTATGTAATTTGTATCTAACGGGCTACTGCATTATTTTAAATTATTTCAAATTATAATGACTCTATTCTTTCAAAAATTATTGAAATTGCAAGAGAATGGAGGCAATGGACAAGAATTGAATTTATTAAAAAAGATATTGTGAAATCTAATAATTGACTCAAACAATCAAAATCAAACAATTGACTCTAAATTAAGTATTAATAAAAATAACCTCAGGCGATTTCTTCATCAAAGCAGATTTTCGAAAATGTGAAAGCAATGTTCAAACTTGTTGCTTTGATTCAAAAATCTACCTGTCGCGAAGTATCTTCTTGCACATAAAATTTCATATATTTTTCTACGGAAAGAATTCTATTATATATAATCAAATTATATTGAAGTTCAAAATTCAATTAATTAAATCATTTAATACTATAAAAGGGAAGATGAAGTTGAAAATTATTAATTATTATAACAATTATTAATTATTAATTATTGTAACAAAATATATTATCAGTATATCAACAAGTAATAATTGCTCTCTAGTACGAAATGCACAAACGAAATCATTTTAATAATAATTATTTATAATTTATCTATTCATATGGATATTGTTTTGAAAATATTTATATTGAATATATTTTATATGTAATTATTATAAATGTACATATTCTAATTGTTAAAATCGCGATGTGCAAGAAGCCCTATCCTGATCTAATACAAAGAAAAAAATCTGAAAAAAGTTACTACTCACGGGTACAAAAAATACCCGTGGTCACTATGCTCATCAAATAATCTACATATACAACCAGTCACCCGTGCCGATTTGGACCTCCCGTCCTACGACATGATTGAGTGACCGGAGGAACATAAATGCATGCGACTCACGCGACAGGTATGAAGAATATTATCATCGATGCTGCATTAGACCAGATAAAGTTATCGTGAAGACTGTCATTAAGTAGATTCCCATGGTGGAAGTGAATGCCGTGAAAAATTTCCTGAAAAACATAAAATATTTTGTTTCTAAAGACAGTGCTATTTGTGAAAATTTTAATTTTAATAATGATAAAAATTCGGACTAATGATTTAAAATGTTTTTATTTTATAATTGCAATTTTACATTCGACTTCAATAGAAAGAGTACTATAGAAAATAGAATTTAAATACATCTGAAGTACTTACATTTTTAGCTTTTGAAGCATCATAAGATCCTTAGAAGAGTAGAGGAAGTGCAGATTGTAAAAAATCTGTAACAAAACACTTGACTTGATTAGAACTTATATTTAAAAGCAGAAAAAAATCTAAAGTTGAAGATAATGAGAGAGTCTTACATTCTTGGCTTTAGAGCCGCTGTTGAATTTTCCCCATAAAATACAAAAAAATTGTTGTTGATGTGGAGCGTCTGTAACAAAACATTATACTTTGTCGTTAAATTTGAAAAATTAAATAAATTAAGATACAATATATAAAACTTACGATCTTGATCTCCTGGAGAGGCCTTGTCCTCTTAAGCACTGACTCTAATATAACCGAAAATGAATTTGGAACAAGAAAAAAATATGAAAAAAGAAAAATAAAAGACTATCAACGCCGCGTTTAAATAATAATCGGTGGACTCACTGACTCTAACTACGCGAATTATAATTTAAATGAATTAATAATTAAATTTAATAAGAGCCATTTTGCTCAGAAAAATATAAAAATATTTCGCAGCAAACACTGACTCTACCAACCGCATTGCGCGCGGTCACAAAAATTTTCTGAAAATAAAATTGATTAGTAGGGGGAGGGAGAAGAATATGTTCATTTAGAAAATACTGTTATTTTTTTAGAAAATGATAATAAAGAAAGTTGAATATGTATTAAAGATATTATAAATTATAAAGTATTTCTCAATATTGAATACTGTAAATGAAAAGCAACTATTTACAGAAATTATTCTGAATTTTCATTATTAGAGTAAAAAGTATGTACATTAGTAATGTATCACGTCACGGATTATAAATATTCGAAAATGTTTGCATCAATTAAAATTTCACAGCTAAATATTTAAGAAATAATATTACGAAAACCCCCCGTCTGAAATCTTGCTCTGAATCATTTAATTACGCGTTAGCATTCAAAAAGCAAATATATTATTATTCTAAAGCAAAAATATATGTGTATATCCATTTAAAAATGTATACTATTAGGCTACTACGATCTCTATATTTGAAATAAAACAATTTATTTCATCTTTTCTATTTTCATCCTTGTATTCCAAATAATTATATTACATATCTTGTATCTCAAATACATATAAATCAATGTATATCAAATGTATATCCAAAGTAAAGAAAATGTTACCAAACTTTCAAAGTAAAAGTTCATCAGAATGATTATTAAATCGACACGTGGCGTCCATGTGCTACCTTTGTAATCAAGAAATAACCTGCACAAAAAGAAATCAAAGTCAGAATGTGTCAAATGAAGGCAAATATGTAAAAATAAAACGATAATCAAATTTTATTGAAAAAAACTTACGAAATAAGCTATCGTACAAGTAAAACCGATGATTGTAGAAAAATCGACATGAAAAATTTCAAAGTATTACTCGATTTCGTTACCGTGCTCGTTAATAAATCGTTAATAAATCGTTAAACACACGCGTATTAATTAAATGATACTACTAATGAGGTATAAATGGAAGTAAAAGAGTCTCGAAGAAGCGACGCTATCAAAGAGAAGCCACCGATAGGTTAGAAAGTTACGAATCTAATGCGACGTAACACGTTGTTATTGCCACGAAATTCCATAGATGAATGATTCCCTCGACACGTCTCGACACAAAGTCGAAAGTGGTAGGGATACTGTGACCCTACATAAACACAGGTGTCTATGTGTTCGCTTGTTTTGATTTCGAGCTTCAAAGCCTTCTGCCCCTTACTTTACTTGAGAAACGAAAAATTTTATTACATCATGTAATGAAATTATTATTTTAACTATTAAATACGAATATTTTTTAATAAACTATTGTTGAATTTAGTATTACAATTGTTAAACATTACACAATGCGAAGTTAGAGAATCAACAAACGAATAGACCATTTTATAATAAAAGTACAAACATAATAAAACATGTATTTATGTGTAATATACATGCGTGATTATTTTCTAGAATATAATATATTAAGTATATGAATTGTAATTAATTGTAATTGTAATTATTAAATCATTCACACTTTGTATCATTTTATTAACTCTCGTATAACAAATTCCTGATTATTTTGACCTCGTTTGTGCCCGCACCCGTATCGTGCATATTGTCAAATTATTCATGTCGAATATTGAAATTACAAATCGTAATACCGCAAATGAACTACAAAATGGACGTATCACATGATTCAAAAATCAGATAGAATAGACTTGATATAGAATGCTTTTTTACCTCCCACAATATAGGGATTATTAACAATAGAACTCTTTATAATTTTAAAAAATATTAACACTGAATAATTATTCATTACTGATCTGTGATGAATAATAAATTTTCTATCTAATAAGATTGTAATCGCGATTACGATTTATCTCTTGACTCATTATTTCTTGTGAAATTGCACCATGCACAACGTAATATCCGCCATTAAAGATTCAAACGTATTTCATACAAATCAAACATGGCGCACTTTCGACCGTTAAATAATTCTGTACAACACGAATGCGCAGAATGTGTTCAAATTTGTCTCTAGTTATTAACGATGTATGTTTAATTAGAATGACGAATACGAAATAAATATCATCAATTATTCAATAAAAAGATGAAACAATCTTACAATAAAATAAATCAAACATTACCGTGTCTTGATGATATGCCAATGTCCGTTGTTGTCGATCACGTGACGTTCTTTTGAATTCCGTGGCGTCTTCTTAATACTTCGAAAATTGTCTAACAATTAACCAGTATTCTGTACAAAAAGATAAAAATCTTCAAATAACATAAAAAAAGAATAAACTTTGTATAAATAAAACAATAATTAAGATCAAATGCCGTCTTGAGAAGTCAATACGAATTATCTGTAAACGTATAATTAGAGAGACAATCAGAGATAAATTACAATAAATGTACATCAAATGTAAAATATACTAAATTACTGAAGAAAAAACGTACACTGATTAAACGAAGTTAACGATGGTGTGGACACAAACGATAAAAATGACAATGACGATAATATTATACACTAAATAAATATCACGCGGACAAATACATCCTAACGACACGATTTTAGACAATAGACTAATCCTTTGCGCAACAAGTTCGCGTCATTAATTTGAGAGAGGAGGAGGGGGAGAAAATATACGAATAAGATTCGAGTAATTTACTAGAAAATCAAAGCATTTTATCAAAATATTTTTTATGATATTATCATATTATATTCGATTAATATTATCATACAGCATTAATATTATACACATATTTATTAATTTAATTGAGAATAGAAATAATAATTCTTAACACGTAATACAATTACATTTCATATAGGTCATATAATTTCACAAAAATTTTATCGTTTGCTGTATATAAAACACGACTATCACAATCATAGTGATATTTGAAAACAATTTAAAAATATATATAGAAGACTTCTCACAGATATTTTGCACAGTTACATATCAATTGTAGTAATAAACGATATTCATTGAAATGTTCTTACTATTTATTATACATAATCAAGACGACTATTCACCAATTTTTTTTCTAAATATTAATACTAATTTACCATAAATATTTTACGTTGTTATCTACATAGCTAGATTGATTTCCAATTTGGCAAAATCATAAAAACATATCTTATTGTAATGCAATAAAACTTTAATATTATAATTTAATAAAATTTTCTAATATTTTGTATACCACGTTAGTTGTATATATGGAAGTACACATATATAGTACATAACCAACAAATAATTATATTGTATGAATACAATTTCTTTAAATAAGATTCACTGTTTTAAATCCTACGTGTATTTAATAATGCAAAAATCAGTCTAAAAGTCATTGATTGTAATCTTTACCTGAAAATTTCTGGATAATACTTCATGTTACTTCCCGCCAAAAGTTGATGCTTCTACGCTACATCCTTATATGTAACTACGAAAAAGAAAAATTGAAAACTAACGCGCAGTAATAAAAAGCAGATGTAAATAATTAGCGACCAAAACTATGTAAAACTTATTCTGCATACCTGTAATTATCTTCATAATCAATTTTAATCCAAATTTCCAAAAATATTAAATAGAATTCGACCTATTGGATGGGACCTTAATTCTTAAATGTTTATATATTCATAATTTTATGAGTCAGATGAGATATAAAAAAAGCGGAAGAACTAATTACTACAATACAATCACAAAAATTTCCCAATTAATCCTCTTAATTGGTTTTTTTTTCCAACATTTGTATAAAGAACTCTGTTGTAGCGACCTCTACTTCGAAGAATTTAGATCAACGACATCCATGTTCCGTCGAGATGTATATTTAATATAAACAATAGAGTATTTAAAAATAGCTATTAATTTTATTATCACCATGGAAATGTTTACTGCCACTTATATATATTGTAGCCATANTTCATTCGTTATTTCGTTATTTCGTCATTTCGTCATTTAAATTCTATTATGTAAACTTCATTAAATTATTAGTAATTGTATATTTTGTGATATTGGTATTTTTATATAAACAACAAAAATCAATTACGGAGTTATTTATTTATTTATAGCATTGTGATACAAATATAAATTATCACAATCGCTATACTGTTGACACTCGTGGCTCCGACTAACGGCAGTCACTGCTACTATATAAATTTTGAAACTATTTATTTTTACATATTGCACATTAAATCAGGTATAGAAAATAAGCTGAGTCCTTAATTAAAAAGATTTAATTACAAAAGTATACAAATTAATCCTCTAAATTAGTTTTTTTTGTAATTCAAGGTTTGTTCCACTTATGGACATTGTTCAATTTATGGACAAAGAAACGCTAGTGTCACGTAGCGGTGAAACGGTGGAACTAATGTATATTTCTTTCCTTGTCTACCGCGCGAATATGTCTCTCCTTGTTGTACGCTCTGTCTCTCTTCGTCTACCACGTGAATATGTCTGTCCTTGTCGCACGCTACTCTCTACACTATTACTCTCCTTGTCTACCGCGTCTATATGTCTGTCCTTGTCGCATGATAATGCCCTTTTTGTCTAATAACACTAGACAAGGAAAGCAACATCCCTCGATCTACTGAAAAAAAATTCAAATTTCTAAACACACGTTTTTCTAGGACAAAACACACATAGAAAGAAAGGGGGGAGCCTAATTTTAAGGAGACACATAAAAAAGTTCGCAAATTATTCCTCCTAATTAGATTTTTTTCGTAATTAGTGTAAATTGTTACAAAATGAACATGGTGGCGCCATCTAGCGGTAACTCAGTGGTACTAATTATTTATAAAAATACTTATTTCTGCATTCTACGGGTCAAATGGGGTATGAAAAAAAAGGTAAGGGTCTAATTAGGGTAATAGAATCACCAAAGTTCACAATTAATTTCGCTAAATTAGGTTTTTTCTCAAATGAAAATTTCTCTGTTTTGCGGGGTATGAAACACTAGCGCCGCGTTGTGGCAGACCGGTGGAACTAAACGCTCTATAACCATATAAGGGGCATAATTTTAATTTTTCATGCTATTAATTTGCACTCCACGAGCACATATTTCAAAGATAATGCTATCAGTTACGTTCGCAAATAAATCTGAATTTAATATTCACTATAGTTTGCGAGAAATTATGCACTCACTACTGGCACTACTACTAAAGGTAGAAAATTCAGTTTTTAGTACATCCAAGATATCAATAAATGGCGCAACTATTGCTTCTAAATTTTGACAGGGGACAGTTTTTCCACAAATTACGAAAAGAAATTAATTAAGGGGAATCATTTCTTAACTGTTATAGTTGCATGTTCAATTTTAGAGACCCTAAACTTGCTTTTTATGTTTTGTTTAAGTATAGTTTACGTATATGAAGAATGTATGAATTTCAGTAATGAGTGCATAATTTCTCGCAAACTATAGTGAATATTAAATTCAGATTTATTTGCGAACGTAACTGATAGCATTATCTTTGAAATATGTGCTCGTGGAGTGCAAATTAATAGCATGAAAAATTAAAATTATGCCCCTTATATGGTTATAGAGCGTTTAGTTCCACCGGTCTGCCACAACGCGGCGCTAGTGTTTCATACCCCGCAAAACAGAGAAATTTTCATTTGAGAAAAAACCTAATTTAGCGAAATTAATTGTGAACTTTGGTGATTCTATTACCCTAATTAGACCCTTACCTTTTTTTTCATACCCCATTTGACCCGTAGAATGCAGAAATAAGTATTTTTATAAATAATTAGTACCACTGAGTTACCGCTAGATGGCGCCACCATGTTCATTTTGTAACAATTTACACTAATTATTAAAAGAATCTAATTAGCAGGAATAATTTGCGAACTTTTTCATGTGCCTCCTTAAAATTAGGCTCCCCGCTTTCTTTCTATGTGTGTTTTGTCCTAGAAAAACGTGTGTGTAGAAATTTGAATTTTTTTTCATTAGATCGTGGGATGTTGCTTTCCTTGTCTAGTGTTATTAGACAAGGAGGGCATTAGCGTGCGACAAGGACAGACATATAGACGCGGTAGACAAGGAGAGCAATAGTGTGCAACAAGGACAATAATATAAATTAGTTCCACTGCTTCACCGCTACACGACGCTAGTATTTTAATGCCTCTAGTGGCTAGTACATCCATTCTTTCCTAAGTATACGAGTTCCAAAAATACGAATATTCATTCTGTTTGTGGTATTAAGAGGATTAATTGAGGAATTTTTCTAATTACATCGTGATTAATTAGATTCTTAATTTTCTGTCTATCCCATGAAAATATCTCCAAAATTACGTACATAAATATTTAAAAATTCAACTTGATGGATCGGAGCCCTTGCTCAAATAGTATTTAATTTCTTACGAACAATATTCAAAGTTGTATCAGTATTATACTCGAATACACGTGTTCTGCTAGGTTTTAATATTGAAACGTTAAACAAGATGTTTACGCCAGAAAAGATAAGAAAACAGTTAAAAGGTTTGTTATTATTGAAACGTAGTGGTGAATTAGACACTGTGGAGAATCTTTCTAACTCGAATAACAAATATTGGAGAAATTCTGTCACGTACGATGATTTGGAACATTATGTTCATCATTATGACGAGGAGGTACAGGTTTGAAAAACAGTTTTGAAAAAAATGTCACTCTTCTATTATGTGATACTAACTTTTATTTCAGATAAAACTGAATACACTAGCCCTTGTAGCAGAATCTAAAAAGAGCACTTTAAAATTTATGTCTAAAGAGCTCGATACAGTCATCTTATTTTTACGTGTCAATTTTAAAGAAAACATAGAGTTTGTTCCTCTGATAAAGAAGGTAAGATTATTATAATAGAAATCTAGTCTTTCTGTGTGTCATGTTTTTTTTTTTTTGTAGGTTTTAAAGCGAATGAAAGACAGTTTGGCTGTCATGAGACGACAGTATGTGCAAGAGAAAAAAATGAGGAATCATTATATAAAAAACCATACTTCATCAGAGATAAAGCAAGAAGTGCTAGATGAATCACATAGAATATCATGCAATTTAGAGAGTGATATTAATATGTATTGTGATAAATTTCAATCACTACGATGTATGTGTATATGTTCTCCTGATGCAACTTATAATAGAAGACGATGCTCTCTACAGATATTACTCTTAATGAGAGATTTGTTAGATGATGAATTTAAACATGTTACTTGGAAAGCTGAACAGTTGGAAGCGATATTTAATTTAATGTTATTAGATACATACGAAGGAAATAAATTAATGGCTTTCAATTTAATAAAATCAGTAGATCCAAATTTGTTACAGTTAAATAATGAAAGTTATGTTAATGAAATTATCATGGTTGCTATTGAATTAGGTAACAGCTTAAGACCCATTGATACTATTACAGCTGCATACATGCTGAAAGTTAGTATATTGTCACCTGTTGTACATAAAGTACTTGAAACACACTTAGGTTCAATGACACAATTTGAAGATATAAAAGAAGCAACGGTATTGCAACTGATACTAATTTTGTTGAAAAAATTGAAGGTATTTGGATCTATTTATATGAAATATTACTTTATTTTAAGGATAAATACATTAATTATTTTTACAGGATTCTTTGATTCTAGCAAAAGAGAATATTGTGAAAACTGTTATTAAACATTCTTTATATGGTTATCTTTTCTGTATCAGAAGTTTGTTACATGAATGTAACTTGAAGAATGTTGGGAAAGAACATTTGTGGCAGAAAACTATAGCAGAATTAGTGTTTATGTCTTTTGAATTCAGTCATGCTGTTTCTTTAATAGTGAATAATTCTTCACCTGAGGGACATTTACCAATGGACTTGAATTTACTACCTGTTAATGAAATTTGTAATTCTGTACCTGATAAACAAATAGTAACACCACAAATGGTGCTGCTTTGTTCTTGGCGTACTATAAAGGAAGTCAGTTTATTGTTTGGTTTGCTTTCTACTAAAGCACCTATATGTGAAGAGAGTGCTTCCATAGAACTGTTAAATAAAGAGCAAGTAAAATTTCACAATTTGTATTAAAAAGTTACTTCTTTAGAAGGAAATAAGTGAAAACAAATTTTTAACAGATTACCAAAATAGGAGAACACTTTGTTTCATTGCTTACTGAAACAAAACATAGAGGAGCATTTGAACAAGCTCATGTAGGATTCAGTCAATTATGTTCTCAACTATGGCGTTCAGATAAAGTAGATCTGAATCAATTACCTACATTATGGTTGTATCAGATCTTGATTTCGATCACGGGAATTAAAGAGAACTCAAAATTGTGTGCAACTAGAAGAAGTGCTGGTGTACCATTTATGGTACAGGTAAAGTAGATTAAATGTATGAATTTATATTTATTTCTTACAATATTATATTTAATATAAATCATATGAATTTTACTCAACAGGCTTTACTATCTACAGAACCTCGTCAGTACAAAGATACAAAGACTACAATTTTTGATTTAGTGATGAAAATTCTATTAGGATTTACGCAACTAGAAAGTGATAATTTACGGAAACAAATATTACAGTTAATATACTCAAACTCTATCTTTACACATTATGGAAATTCACTTATAGCATTGAAGTATAATCATGATTATTCTACAAATGTTGCTCAAATTACAGAAATCAAAACACATACTCTAAATATTTTAAGAGCTATTTTTCGACATTCTCATCTTGCAGATGTAGTAAATAGTTATGTCGAAGGTGGTTTAATAGCAGCATTTAGAAGTTACGATGCCGTAACATGGGCGGTAAATAAATTTCTTTAAAAATGTGAAAATGAAATTTAAAAATAGAAATTGAAAAATATGTCTTCTTTCTTACAGGAAAGAAATGCAGCAGCATTACTTTTTAGTGCACTCATTATTAGAATTTTTGGTGTTCAAAGAACAAAAGACCATATCAATCTTACTACAGATAATAAAATGAATTACAAAACATTTTTTGAAAAATATCCTAATCTCTTATCTTTCATTCTGAATGAATTGCAAACATTTGTAGCAATGGATGATACTCTTATAAAAACCAATATACAATCGATTTTACTGTTACTATCACGATTATATTATAATCCGGAACCTAGCGATGTCCAGTGGAAGGTAATTATAAATAAATAAAATTGAAAATTTGGTTTATATTTAATAGCAATACATATATTTTAGATTAATGATCTCGTAGATGTAATTATACAATGTGCAAAAAGTACAATATTCGAAACACGGAAATTAGCAGCCAGAGCACTTGTGCCTTTATTGACAGAACAATCTATTCAATGTGTTTTAACGAAAATAATTAAGAATATAGTATCTATAAAGGCTAATCATTCATCTTTAAATTTAATACATGGCTATATGTTGCAAGTATGCATACAGACAATGAACATTTTTTTTAAAATACTAACCTTTTTTTAAGCACATATTTTTTAAATATTATAGATATATGAAATACTGATGCATTTTAACTTTAAATCGTTTGAATCGATTGATGTAAGTTGGTGTGAGTTTTTGAAACAAACAATTTGGATCATAAAAAATCTGGAGCGAAAAAATTCAAAATCACCAAGTTTTTTATTGGCCGCAGTTTATGTAAATGTTTGTAATGAAATATGTAAAGTAGATAAAACGTAAGAGATATTGATATTAGAAATTCCGAATTATTGAAAAAATATTATAGTCATTTCAATTGCAGATACATGACACAATTGACTCCGATGATATATACGATAATTTTTCATTTATTGGATGAAAAATTGAAACGAGGGCCTGCACGAGAACTCTATAAATTATCAGTAATTAAATTTTTTCGATTAATAGCGAAAAGAACTTCAATAATTCAACAATCCATACTAATTAGAATATACTTGCATAATTTAAAAGTTCCTGAAATGCAAATTGCTGTGTGGTCAATTATTCCAGAAATCATTAATGAAGTGAAATATAGTGATGCATTAGTACCATTATTAAATTATACTTTCAATGAAATTCGCAGCTCCATACACTGTTTTCATAAATATAGTCCAGAATTGCAAGATTCAATGTTTAATTTCCTATATAATAGCCTAATGTGCATTAATGAAGTTGAATCATCTGATTTCATGAGAAGAATGGATGTTTGTAAATTTGTGTTGAATGAAATACGTTTAAAGAATAATAAAAATGGCTATTATGAGAGAGATTGCTACTTAAGATTATTGGGAAAATCATATGTAACTTTAGCTTCTTTAAATAAGTATGAAGAAGTAATTAATTTGGAATGTACAAACGATGTATACAATAGTTTCTGTGATTATTTATGGATCGCAAATTTGGACAGAGATTTTAGAAAGTCTGTATTTGAAATAATGAAGAATCTCTTTCTAGCATGTTACAAACGAGAGGAATATCAATGTAAGTTAGAAAATATTAACATATTTGTATTCAATTCTAATTAAATGTGATTACAGATGTACAGATTCAATGGTGGACTACAGTATTGCAATTGTTATTAAATAATAATTCCAAAGTGCGATACGAAGCATTTTTGTTGATTGATCATCTACCAGTACAATGTACAATGATTAATGATTGTTCACATTTGAATTTATTACTTTCCAAATTCTTTCAATGCAATGTACGTAATACACATCCTGAATGTATGTGTATTGCACTGTTTTATTGGAGTATTGCATTATTAGATAACATAGATTATGAAATGGATGATACAGATGTAAGTAAACATTATTTAATGTATTAAAAGCGCAAAAGATATTACGAATGCAATGTTCTTTGTTTTAAGGTGTTCAACAAATGTACAAATTATGATTTCTTTGAACCTGTGGAAGTATCAAGGATATGTGCTGAATTTTTAATAGAAAATATGAAGCCTTATATGGATATTATACTGCCAGATGAAACTATAGATTGGATAAATTCACTTTTGAATGTCGAGTTTCAAAAATCCATCTCATTTAGAACGCTTATAAGAAATTATGAAAGTTATGTGCCCATCCTTGAAAATAAACTACACGATATTTTAAATCCAACTTATAGGAATAAATTATTGCAAATTTTATCATACGAACAGTACAAAGGCATAAAGTGTACCTACAATACGTCTACATAAAATAAATCGAATATTTTCATATGAAATATGACTTCCGTTTTCCTACATAACCAAGTACTTACATTCGAATGTTTTTCATCGAATTAGAAAAGGAATTACAGCTAGAAGTTGTAAAAAAAAGAAACATTCAGAAAATAAAAGATATCAAATTGCAAATCGAAAACAAAGCAAAAGCACGAAGCAAAAGTACGATATCTTTTTGAATTTGAAGAATAGGACGAAGAGTGGGGGCAAGTTGGTTGGAGAAACATCCCCAGGTGTCAGTTCTGTCTAGAAAATTTAGTTGGGCCGCTTGACGCAGGCAGACGCCACTGTCGCGGCTCGACGTTCGCCGACTCGCTGCGTATTTCGTGACGTTATACCGCGGATCCGTCGGATTTTCGCGTTTTTCGCGCCTCAGCGTTGTGACCGTCGAGTATTAGTGTGCGCCGACAATCTTTATCTGCGTTGAACGAGAAGCAGCATGTCCACGAGTGTTCGAACAGATTAAAACCGAGGGAAAAGCAGAGAGAAGACAGTGGCCGTGCGTGTACCAGGCATGGAGTGGACTCAGTGCGCTCGTTTCAAATCGTTACGAGCCGTTACCGCAGCCCCAGTCGAACCAAGGTAAGTTCCGCCAACATAAACACGCGCGATCGCATTCCACGCGTGTTGTTTCACTTTCATATCGAACTGTTACGTCGTTTCCTGCTGATCCTGTTCTGGTTGTTCCTTCGTACCCTATCCTATCCTATGTACGACCTACTTGTTGTACAAGCTGTCATCTCTCAATCAGAGTATCTTTGTCTGAAAACAAACTGCGTATTCGCGATTGAATATTTTTGACTAGAATCGTGCCGCGCGACAGCCTTTCTCAAGTAGGTTTTCACGTGAAAAAAAAAAAATAGCATGCACACACGCACGCACTAGGAGAAAGGAGAGGCAGAGAGAGAACGGGGAAGGAGCGTGAAATGGAAAGATCAAGCGAGAGCAGCGAGAACAAGTTTGAAAACTAGCACTGCCAGTCCGTTGAACATCTGCGATTCCTAAAGTGCGTCCTTCCAAACACGGAATGTTAAATAGCCTTCGCGCTTGATCAACTAACGGAGTCTTCTCGAATGATCTCTCTTGACCTGTCTTTCTTCTCTCGTCTCTCTTGTTTCACTCTCTTTCTCTCTCTCTCTCTCTTTCTCTCTCTCTCTCTCTCTCACTTCTCGAGGAGAAAGGTCATCGGTCTCAAATTCATCTTTTGTCCACGCCTTAGGCACACCAATAGTAATGCGTTACGACATATTTTCCATTGGCTCGAATTCGTTTTAAATTACCATAAGTAGTTTGATACCTTCTGTTCTGATACGCTTGACTCTTTTTCGTAATCGGTCGAATTTCTCAATGTCAAGTTGATTACTCGTTACATCTTGTCTTGTTGATTCGATTGTGTCTCTCGCCTGTCTCGACTCATTCGTTTCGGCACAGAAGAATTGCTAATCTATTTCTCCTCTTAATAATCTTCGTGACATGTTTGATTATTCGTCGTGTTCATTACAGACCGCGGAACGGTTCGTGTCAAGCAACGATTTTCATTCGTTAACGCCTTACATATAGTGTAACGTACACATTTACGTTTCATTATAACCAGATGATGTAGAAAAGTGTGAGAAATAAATTTTCAATTTAACGGCCACTTTTTTAAATCTAAAAATCATATCTTTTAAGTTAACAACTTTGTTAACTTTGAAACGTCTTTAAATTATAAATATTACATTCACCTGAAATTTATGTGTATTGAACAATATTTTTGACACAGTCTTAGAAATGACGCTGAAGCCATTCATTATGACATTTGTTTTTCAAAGCTTATCCATAGGGATTACGCAGGGAGAGCTTTTTATAACGGAACTACTTGCGTTGTTCTGCTTATCTAGCATTTTTAATAAATGATGATGAAGAAAACGACACCACATTTGGTATACCCGGCTATTTGCATTTTTCCTGTGCGTTTCTTTTTCTCTCCTTTTTCTCCTTTTTTGCTACTCCTGTTGTCTCACGAGAGAAAAAGTATACATTTATTTCCTTCCTACAAAATTACACATATTAAACTACCATTGTGAAATACGCTTGAAATATTTCATTGGAAACCAACCTATTGTCCGTGGACGATCATTATAAGACCTTTTCAAAACGTAGCAACTGACAATTATAGAATATTCTATTGATTGACGATAATAGAAATATAATGTATCTTGCACCTCGAATATAAATTGTATGATATAATATTTCATAAATATCATAAAAAGTTATATGAATATACTATATATAGACTCATAAAAATCACCCTTACAATAGTACCAACTTCTGCATATTTATGTTACGTAATGTAACGTATATTATAAAATATGCAATGAACAAAGTAAAAGTGAAAAAGGTTTTTAATTTTTCCAACGTAGTTTATTTCACTGGTTTATTTTCGATTCCATTACCACGACACGCATTAAACATCATGCTGATAAAAGGTCTCGTTTCACATAGAGGTGTATAAGTGTAGCCAACCTTTCTTCTTTTCTGGTTTAATTCCATGATCGCGGGAAACAATTGGGCGTTTCAGAGAGCAGGAAAAGGTCGAATATACAACTCACGTGTCGAGGGTCTATTTGTTTTATCAAGCCTGCAGCGGCAACCTGCTCCCGCATTATTTTGACAATAACGCCGAGCAACCACGCGAACCAGACACAACTATATAGGTAATTTATGCAAAATGCAAGCTGCGCACTCGCCTACGGGCGCACTCCATGAGCCACATCCATTACATTATAACAAAACAATGTTTAACGATTGTAATTGACCGTAACTACAGCTCAAATTCGATAAAAAATGAAAAAATAGTCGAATTACGCGGGACGCATCAATTTGCATGTATCACGTTTCTCGTCGGATCATCTACGTTACACCGTGCATACCTATTTGTTAAAAAAGAAGATAGTTCGTGAGAATACTAATCTGCGATGTCATTGAATTTTTTTACTTCGTTAATAAAATTTCACTTATCCGATCCAATAGTACATCGATTTCCATTTTCGTTCGTTGGTTGAAACGCATTCGCTGTTATTTCCATGTTTTTGTTTTGCAAGCTGTCAATTCGCCATATTTGGTCGATAATCATTGGTTCCCGCGTTTTTTGCGGTTCACGTGACACATTCGATCGAGAAGTTCAGTTTTCACGATGCGCATGAAAGCTGCGCATAGTACACATCCGTTACCGGACGGTTTTGCTGTCAGTTTCCAGTCGCCGGCAATCAAACGTGTTAATTTTCTTACGTTCGAGTGCCGTTTATAATGCAGCTCTGATGTTGGACTTTGAAAGTGCGCGTTTGCTTTACACCTTGCAATTGCCTTTCGAACTACGTGAATTTCCTTGCCGATTTTACGATGGTAAACAGCCGCGCGTTTTATCTCTGGTCGTTGAACCTCCGCTACTCCCGAGAACCAGAGTAAGTCTATGCTTAAAGCTGCTTTCTTTTTTACTTTTTTTATGCGATGATTCTCCTTTTTTTTTGTGATTCAATAAATTTGGAATATTTTTTCGTCTGCGTATATTTTGCGCTCAAACGTTTGATCGGCTCTGCGATCAGCGGCATAACCTAACTTCGCGACATAACCGGAAGTTAACAATTTTCAATCAATATCCTTTGCTTACGAAACATTTTCACTATTACTAATTTCAAAGATGAAAGTTATGTGGTATATGATCACCTTATTAATATATTATTATATTAATGTTTATTCAGTACAATTTTGCATTTTCGAATTTACTACAAATGCGCAAATATTCACAGTCGTGTAAAGCATTCGGACGTCGATGTATCGAGAATTCGAAATTATTTCGAAGGTATCCCTCTTTCACGTTCGAACGTGTGTGTTTGATCACGGGAATTGAACCATTGTTATTGAACAATGGAGTATCCCGACGAGTAAGAAAAAGCAGGCATGTTCGTTATGCCGAACAGACGAACGATGGAATCGAATCCGCGGCTCGATACACGGCCAGCCGTGGTACGTGACAGATATCTTGAGGGACGTGTTCAAATACCACCGGATGATTCACGACACCGTGAATATAAGAAAATGTAGTTGGGATTTTTGTCCGAGGGTCTTGGTTAGCCGGAGCTCGTTGAAATTCAATCCTATCCAGCGGAAAGAAATTTTTGGCGGGAGAGCGGCGAACGATCGAGCTTCAACGAAATCTAACGATCGTCGATTCTCTGGTGTCCCCGTGTGAAATTAATTTCCACGAGAAAATCCGAGCTCTAGGATCTCGAAATTCAATAGCCCTGCTCCTGTTTCTTCGTCTAGCCCCCGGAAGAGAGTGAAACGTCGCGTATATTGTTCGCATCGTCGTCTAATCGACTTACGTAGTCTAATGGTTTCGAGTGATTACCGCGCTTCTTGACCTGCACCGGAAACGGTCGAGCGCGCCTTCTTAACGATTATTAATGTCCCTTAATGGCGCCTTAGTTGGCTCGGTAGCCAGATCACGCCGATTAACTCTGGTAATTGTCCTTGCTGTTTGTCTCGATTCCTCGCTGTTTGCTGAATTTCTTCTTCTTATCTAGAATCGTAACAAAGAAAATCCAGGTAATTTAACTAATTACGAGGAAAGATGTCTGGAAACAGTTTCAACCAGAAGCAACGTTCCCATTTAATCGTCGCAAATTACCGTTTCAATAGAATAAGGTCCATTAATGGTACACTGTGAATTACGAGTTGTTATTTGGCATTTCGTCTCATTGAAGTTCGGAAGTAAACGCGCGTCCTTGTGACTCATGTTCCCGTTTGTCGTGCGTGCCAAGGACAACGTCGAGGAATCGCGATCCTTGCCAATTTTGGAATCCCGATAAGCGAGTCTGTCGCCGGTGACAAATCATTTTAACGAGCGAGACAGTTTAGAGATATCGGTGACGTTCTTGTTCCTTGGCCTCGTCATCGGCCATCTGACCCCTGTCCATTTAGAAAATGAAACTAACTGTCAAAATGGCAACGCGTCCCCCCTCCCTTTTCTCGCCGCAAATTTAACCTCGTAGCACGAAAACTGATACTTTCGAACTTCATCCAGTTTGCCCTTCCCTTCTTACATTCATTCACTTTTATGTAGGTTAACCCGTAACATTTTGACTCGTTCGATTCGATTTATTTATATCTGTATTTTGTTAATTTCGAATCTATTCATTTATTGATTTATTTAGTGATTCAACTTGTTTTTTTTTTTTTAATGTGTTTTTAATGGTTTTGTGATATTTTCATTTCTCTTTGAATTCCAATGTTGTCGCTTTGTTGAAACTTTTCTTTCTTCGTCGTCCCGTAAAATCCCAACTATTTTCCAAAACAAAAAGGTGGACGATTTTCTTAACCTTGCTCAGTGATATTGGTTCGATCATTAGGAGATTCGGGACTGGTTAGTGATTCGTAACGGAATCCCGTGAAACATCGGGTCAACCCATTGCTATAAAACTTACGAGGCTGCTGCTGTGCTCGCAATCTGGCAAACATTCGCCGGTCGTATTCAAACGCATCCGAAAGTTCGGGGCTCGCATATTGCTCGAGATGCGAGAAAGGGTAGCGAAAGTTTCGTC